AGATTGGGGTTTCTGTGAGCTATGACCCCACAGCACTCTAGCCTGGAGCAATCAAGTAAGACTCTGTCTCAAACAAACAAACAAAAAACCTCACATGCAGGGCGGCTGTGGCTCAAAGAAGTAAGGCACTGGCCCCATATATCAGAGGCAATAGGTTAAACCCAGCCCTGGCCAAAAACTGAAAAAAAAAAAAAAAAAAAAACCTCACATGCAAATGAAAAAAATTAAAGACAAAGTAAAAATAAATCACATGCAAATAACTTCCAGTGAATATAGTACTCCAAAAAGAATGCATCCCAGTAAAATACTGTTTCATAGAAACCAGCCCAGATCATGACAAAGATATTCACAGTATTTTTTTTTCTTTTGAGAAGAGTCTCACTGTGTCACCCTTGGTAGAGTGCTGTAGCATCACAGCTCACAGCCACCTCAAACTCTTGGGCATAAGCAATTCTCTTGCCTTAGCCTCCCAGTAGCTGGGAATATAGGCACCAGCCACAATGCCGAGCTATTTTTTTGTTGTTGCAGTAGTTGTTGTTCAGCTGGCCAAGGCTGGGTTCGAACCTGCCAGCCTCGGTGCATGTGCCTGGCACCATAACCACCATGTTACAGGCACCCAGCCCACAGTATTTTTTTTTTAAATCATAACAAAATGGTGTAGGGAATATTATTATATCTAACCTATACTATTAGATCTCAGATCACTGCATATTTAAAAGCAATGGTTGTAAATTGTTTTAAGTTTTATTCCTTTTTTTTTTATTGAGACAGAGTTTCACTTTATCACCCTCTGTAGAGCCTATGGTGTCATAGCTCACAGCAACCTCAAACTCTTAGTCTCAAGTGATCCTCTTGCCTTAGCCTCCCAAATAGATGGGACTATAGGCTCCCAACACAACACCTGGCTATTTTTGTTTGTTTGTTTTTTGTTTAGCAGGCCCAGGTGGGTTTGAACCCACCTGCCCTGGTGTACATGGCTGGCATCCTAACCACTGAGCAACAGACACTAAGCCATTAAGTGCTACTCCTAAACACAAATAAGACAAACAAGAAGACATTAGATCTTATCCTTACAATAAAAAAAAAAGAGAGAGAGAGTCTCTGAGATTCAGATAGTTTAAATGATCACATGATAATGTACTTTCTTTTTTTCTTAATCAAGTGATCAGCAATGAGTATTCTCTTCATTTCAGGTGAGTCCGAAAAGGTGATTGCCGTCATCTCGATCTTTTTTTTTTTTTTTTTTGACAGTTTCCTTCTGTCACTCTGGGTAGAGTGCCATGGCATCATCATAGCTAACAGCAACCTCAAACTGTTGAGCTCAAGAGATCCTCTTGCCTCAGCCTCCCAGTAGCTGAAACTATAGGTATCCACCACCATGCCAGCTAGTTTTTTCTATTTAGTAAAAATGGGGTCTTGCTCCTGCTGAGGCCGGTCTTGAACTCCTGAGCTCAAGCAATCCACCTGCCTACCCTCCTAGAGTGCTAGGATTATAGGCATGAGCCACCACACCCAAACAACAACATAGTTCTTATGAACTGTGTATAAATGGAATTTTGGCTTATTTTAAATACATTAAGAAATCTTGCTATTTAAAGGAATGTTCAAGATTTTAAAAAAGCAAATTCTCTATTTCATTTCTTTTGTAAATCTGATACATTAAAGAGTATAAAAACATTGAAAGAGCAAATGAGGATGAATGCAGAAAGAATAAAGTAAAACTACTGATTCTATTTCATCTAAAAACGACTCTAAAAGAATTCTACACTCAGCTTCCCATCTATTCATAAGTTATATCATAAATATTTTAATTCATTAAATATTTACTAAGCATCTACTATAAGCCAGACATAGTGCTAATATTAGAGATAGAAAGATGACTAAAGTCACAGGTCCCTCAAAATATTCACTAAGGAGACAGAAAAAAACCTGTAATAGAGATATGAACAAAATACATTAGAAAGTCTATAAAGGATTTCCAGAGAAATATCAGAATTGCTTTTTTTTTTTTTTTTTTTTGAGACAGTCTCACTTTGGCATCATAGCTCTTAGCAACCTCAAACTCTTGGACTCAAGTGATTCTCTTGCCTCAGCCTCCCAAGTAGCTGGACTACAGGCACCGCCACAACACCCAGCTATTTTTAGAGATGGGGTCTTGCTCTGGCTTAGGCTGGTCTCCAACCCTTCAAAGCGATTCTAGAATTCTTTCTGGAATGGCCAACAGAACTGTTACTATGTTACCCTTGATGTCCTGAATGTCATCAAAATGTCTTCCCTTCCCTTATCTTCAAATAAAGAAAAAAGGCATTGCAGGGTCAGGTCAAGTGAATAAGGAGGGTGTTCCAATATGGTTGTTTACTAACTAAAAACTCCTAACAGATAATGCTGTGTGAGCTGATACAGTGTCACGATGCAAAGGCCACGAGTTATTGGTGAAAAGTTCAGTTTGTTTTGTCTAACATTTTGACACAGCCTTTTCTGGACTTCTAAATAGTAAACTTGGAGGCCAGACAAGGTAGATCATGCCTGTAATCCTAGCACTCTGGGAGGCTGAGATGGGTGGATCAATTGAGCTCACGAATTTGAGACTAACCTGAGCCAGAGTGAGACCTCATCTCTAAAAATAGCCAGACATTGTAATTGGGCAACTGTAGTCCCAGCTACCCGGCACTCTCCAGAGGACAACAAACTAAGACTCTGTCTCAAGAAAACAAAAAAATAGTAAACAAATTTATAATAAATAATCTCTCAGATATCAAAAAAGGAGTCATTTTGACTCCTTAATTTGGACTGATGGAACTTTTTAGTTCATGGAGAATTGGCTGACTTCCTTACACACTTGGACACTTTGTTTCAAGGTCATATTTATACGCCCATTTTGTTTTTTTATCACCAGTGATAACATGGCCCAAAACATCATCTAGCCTCCGTAAAAGGTCTTGGCCTACTTCAACTCTCCTTTGCTTTTGTTCATCAGTGAGCTCCTTCAGGACCATTTTTACACATCTTTCTCATGCCAAGATGTTCAGTTAACATTTTCTTGTTTCTCTATTGATTGTTTACTTGGTCTGCTATTCTTCCAACAATAGTCAGCCAATGACTGTGATGCACAATTTGATGAATTTTTGCAAGGTTTTCATCAGTTCTCCTCATTACAGGCCACCCTGACCTCTCTTCATCAGTGACACTTTCTCTCCCCTCGGAAAACCATTTAATCCATTTGAACACTTCTATTTTCTTCATGACATTATCCCCATAAACTTGGACTAACATGTCCCTGATGTCACTTATATTCTCGCCAAGTTTAACAAGAAATTTTATGAATGTTTGTTCAGTGCTCTAAATCAAGCTGTGACATCCTCAAAGGCACATAAAAACACATAACAATAACGAACATGAACGCCACTCAGCAAGACACAACACAAACACAGCTGTGAGACACTGATATACCAAGTTTATAAAACCTTACTGAGGGGTGGCGCCTGTAACTCAGTGGGTAAGGCGCTGGCCATATACGCCATGGCTGGTGGGTTTGAACCCGGCCTGGGCCAGCTAAAACAACAATGACAACTGCAACAAAAAAATAGCCAGTGTTGTGGTGGGCACCTACAGTCCTAGCTACATGGGAGGCTGAGGCAAGAGAATTACTTCAGCCCAAGAGTTTGAAGTTGCTGTGAGTTGTGATGCTACAGCACTCTATCAAGGATGACGTAGTGAGGCTCTGTATCAAAAATAAAAAAAAAGAAAGAAAGAAACCTACATTGTGGGATTCACAAACTTAATTGTCAGACCTGTACAAGCTCCCTAAGTAGAGAACTTACCTTGTCTATCTTGTTTGCTACTGTATCTAGAACAGTGCCTGATACATAGTAGGCACTCCATAAATACTTTTTGGATGAGTATTAAGTGAAAACAGACTTTAACAGTATTTTTAATTTTTTCATTTTTATAACACTAAACAAAATAGAAAAGAAATACACACAAAGACATACACTCTGTTAATCTCCATCATTCGTGAATTCCTTATGTGCCAACTCACTAAAATTCATGTGTAACCCCAAAATCAATACCTGTAGCCCTTCTGCAGTCATTCACAGACTCGCATACACAAAAACTAGAGTTGCCTAATGTGCACATTCCCAGCTGAGGTCTAACAAAACAATGCTCCATCATCTTGTTTCACCTCTCATATGCAATACATTTCTGAGTCTATGCAGTGACATTTTTTTTGCATTGTTGTGCTTTCTGTTGGTGATTTTATTGTTTAAAAAAAAAACAACCCATGCAGGGCAGAGCCTGTTGCTCAGTGGTTAGGGCGCTGGTCCCTTATACCGAGGGTGACAGGTTCGAACCCAGCCCTGGCCAAACTGCACCAAAAAAAAAATAGCTGGGAATTCTGGCAGGTGCCTGTAGTCCCAGCCTCTCAGGAGGCTGAGGCAAGAGAATCACCTAAGCCCAGGAGTTGGAGGTTGCTGTGAGCTGTGACACTACCACACTCTACCAAGTGCAACACAGTGAGACTCTGTCTCAAGAAAAAAAGAAAAGAAAAAAAAGAAATTAATTATCTATTGTTAATTGTTAATAAACTACCATTTGCTCTTACAAGATAAAATCAAAAGATTCGCATCAGACTTTTTATCATTAACACAGGAATAAAACAGCAATGCCTTTGAAAATTATAAAATAAAATTTCCAGGCAGCACCTGTAGTACAGTGGTTACAGCGCCAGCCACAAACACAAAGCATGGCAGGTTCAAACCCAGCCAAGCCCAGCTAAACAACAATGACACCTGCAACAAAAAATAGCTGGGTTCTGTGGCAGGCGCCTAAAGTCCCAGCTACTTGGGAGGCTGACACAAGAGAATCACTTACACCCAAGAGTTTGAGGTTGCTGTGAGTTGTGATATCATAGCACTCTACCCAGGGAAAGATAGCAAGACTCTGTCTCAAAAATAAAATAAATAAATAAATAAATAAATAAATAAAAATATTTCCAGCCAGGCCCAGTGTCTCACACCAGTAATCCTAGCACTCTGGGAGGCCAAAGCAGGTAGATTGCTTGAGTTCATGAATTCCAGACCAGCCTGAGCAAGAGTGAAACCACTGTCTCTACTAAAAATGAAAAACTGAGGCAAGAGATCTCTTCAACCCAAGAGTTGGAGGTTGCTGTGAGCTATGACACCATAGCACTCTACCTAGGGCAACAAAGTGAGACTGTTTCAAAAAAAAAAAAGAAACAAACAAAAAATAATAATATTTCCAACATAAAATTCTATCCCCAAATACAGTATTATCTGAGGAAAGAATAAAAACTTTTATATACACAGGGTTTCAAAAACATTAACTCCTTAAATGTTTAACTCTCAAAAATCTTCTTTTTTTTTTGAGACAGGGCCTCAAGCTGTCCCCCTGGGTAGAGTGCTGTGGCATCACAGCTCACAGCAACCTCCAACTCCTGGGCTCAAGCAAGTCTCCTGCCTCAGCCTCCC